ACAAAAAAACTAAGTACCAGTAATGGCCAGTGGCACGCAGTTTCCGCTGATGACAGAACAGTCATAAATTTGTCCTCTTTGAGTTTGACTGTGTTGTATTAAAGGATCGCTCACAAGCAGACTATGGAAGAAGACAGAAAGAATATGAGAACATGTTTAAAAAGAGAGATAAATCTGTGGCGTTCTTGGCTGGGTATGTGGTTTGAGTATGATGCAAAAAATGAAAGACAAAAAAGTGTGGACATCAGCATGATTTTGGATAGTGTTGAAAAATATTTTTCGGTTACTGAAAATCACAGAAAGGGGAAATTAAAACTACTGGAAAAGGCGGAATTCAAAACGTTTGCTTTCTGATTAAACAGTAATAATGTTCAAAGAATATTTTTTAACTGGACCAGAACAGTCGCAGTGGCTCTGTTTTCTTATGTTAATTTAGTAATTGACAAATGAAAATGTCTTGCTTTACCTACATTACAGTGACAACAGTAGCTTGTAAAGTAGAGATGTAATTGCTTTGCAGTACCTTCTGACTAAACATGAAAAACAGAAACACAATTGCACAACTCAGATGTATAAAGTTTAGCTTAGAAATTCAAATGAAGGCCTTCTGTTATATACGTTATCTGAGTTTGTCATCTTAAATGATTTTACTTGAGTAATTCATTAATTTGTCATTAGGGCTTTTTATATTACTGGCTTTAATATCCACATCAGTCTTGGATTCAAATATTCTGTAGCTCTTAAAGTCAGCCGTGCATTTATTTTCAGCAGTCCAGCTATTTTGAGTGATCTGTGGTAAAGTTGAGTGAGCTCACCTTGCACCTTTCTGTATCACTTTATAGCCAAAGCCAGTGTTTTCATTGTTTGTGAAGGTCTTCCATGTCACAGGATCAATGTTGAACGCCGTTAATGAATGGCATACTATCATGTAAAAGAAAGTAAAATGACAAGTCTTTAAATGAATTTTGAAACTAAGTACCTGATTAGACATGCTGTCTAATCAGCATCTTGATATGCCACACCTGTGAGGTGTATGGATTATCTCGGGAAAGGAGAAGTGCTCACTAACACAGATTTAGACAGATTTGTGAACAATATTTGAGAGAAATATGCCTTTTGTGTACATCGAAAAAGTCACCCTATGGCCTCGTTTCACAAGACATGGCTTCGGTTAAGCCAAGATTAAGCCATAGTTGAATTAGGACATTTAAGTATCTTTTATGAACATGCCTAAGAAAAAAAATACTGATGTGCATGTAGAGACAAAATAATGGCACTGACATATTTTTAAGATATGTAAGTGCAAGTTTCTTTCTGGGACTAGACTTAAGCCTAGTCTATGAAATGGGTGTATATCTATGAATAAATTGTCTTAGTAAGATTATATTTAAATGCTTATTTTCATGATCAAAGCTCTGTCGTTTTAAAAAATATAATGCAATGCAATGCAATGAGAATTGAGAGATGAACAAATAAACATTCTTAAAAGCCTGATGATCAGATTTGATACTCAAGTTTTAATGTTATTAATCTAAATGATGTATTGTATGGATAAGCAAGTAAACCTATAAGTTGTTTCAGTCCAGTAAATGTTCATCTTGAAACATTACTAACAAAATAAAAGTTATTCATATGTTTACAATTATAATAAAATACCTTTTACTTGCTAAAAAAATATAAAACTATCAAAAGACGACTGAATGTAGTAGCTTGCATGCAGAAGTCCTGGCCAAATGGTTAGAGAGTCAGACTTGTAACCTGGAGGTTGTGGGTTCGAGTCTCAGGTCTGATTGTCGGTGAGGGAGAGTGAATAACCAGTGCTTTCTTCCACCTTTAATACCATGACTGAGGTGAGACCCTTGAGCAAGGTGCCAAGCCCCATCTGATCCCCAGGTGCTGCAGCAATATGGCTGCCCACTGCTCTGTGTGTGTGTGTGTGCACTTGGGTGGGTTAAATGTAATTCAGAGTATGGGTCACCATACTTGGCCACACTTCAACAGATGTTATTTTTTATTATTATTTGCGTATCAAATATAATACAGTGGACTTGACAGCAACGCATATCCAACAGATTAGACAAAATAACTACACACTGAAATTTTCTTGTAATAATGCTTTTTTAACATTATCAAGCTATTAAAATTCATCAAGCAAAATATCACAGAATCCACAATCTGTTCATTTTACAGCAAGTATACAAGTGAAGAAAATACTTTTTGTTTCTGATTACTATCTTTATGGCATTAGGTCATTTCATAGCTTATGCCACATATTTAATTACACATAAAATTGAACTTACCATAAAACAAACACAAAGGCAACCAGAAATTCCGGTCCATTTCTTCATCAAGGTACAAACAGAGGTGGAGGGTGAACAAAAGAGACTGATACTCGTTGAGTCGCAAGTCTGAGTGAAGAAACTTCGGTGGTACTGAGAGAAAAATCGAATGGAAATAGAGTGACACATGTGACTAAAGAGGAACTACCACAGAGGAAACAAGAGGTATCAACAAAACCTATTTTTCCTCAGTCTTTCACCTCGCTCCCTCTCTTGGTCTTTTTTAAACAATTACTGTGACTAAAAATAAATGAGAAATAACTTTCAGCATTTCAGAAGTAATATTTTGAAATCAAAACCAACAGCAATGATTCTGATATAAAAGTAGGTGAAACGGAAATGCCAAAATGTGAATGTAATAGTAAGTAAACATTAACTAAAAAGCTGAGTTGTTTAAAAGAGTTTTTAAATGTATCATAACCTACAATTGTTATATATTGTTTTGTCATAACCGCTGCTCCAGTCCCTGACTATCGGGTTGAAATGCTTGGTTTTGGTGCTACGCTGCAAAACAAAAAGGTAGGATTTACTTGGTAGGAAACAATTTCTGCAAATTCTGCATTTAATTAAATGTGAAACTTTGAAGTAGAAAAATTAAAATTATATTTTCTGTAAAATATTCTCCAATAATCTTTATTTACAACTTAGAGGGGAAAAGTCATTTTTACAGCGTATTACCAAGATTGATGTAATACCAAGATGATTTTGCAAAGAGAAAAGGCCTCTGACTCAAAGAGAAATGTTTTGAAAACCCCATAGCAATAAGTAATAAGTAACTAATAATAGCAACCAGTCAAGACTGTATGGCAAGCCATTTTAACATTTAATATATAAAACAAAGTATCTATTTTCATTCTTCTAGTACCTATTTTTTAATCTATTCCATTAGGGACTAGTACTTATTTGTTGGCTAACTAGTGCTTATTCTTTAGGTACTAGCATCTTTATAAATATACTAGCATTTATTTATTAGATACTATAGTTTGCCATTCACTTCTATGTGGATATATCATTCAAATATCAACTGTTCAGTTCTGACTACTATGTATTCCAATTGTGTCCAATTGTGTATATATATACACACACACACACACACATAGTATTAAATAAGCACTAGAATCTATTTATTAGGTACTAGTAATAAATAAGAACAACTATTGTCACGACTGCTGCTACTGTGTTGGAGCGAGGAACGAGGAGCACGCAGGGGAATTACAATCAGAACAGTCTTTAATCATCCACAGGAACACACACGTAGCATGGGGATAGACATTTAACACCGGACAAAGGAACCAAGGCACAGAACATTCTTTAAATACATGACTAACGAGGGACTAAGCGAGAAACAGGGTCATGGGGAGCACATAGGGAGCAAAACACAAGACAGGAACACAGGGGCAGTCCAAAGATGAGACATTACTTCCCCCTCCCGGACGGCACATCCACGCGCCACATAACTTCCAACGGGGAGGGGGGGCGGGCGCTCTGGAGGCCTCTATGGAAAGGCTTGCATGGGACAGAAGGCCTCCTGGGTGGTACCCGTTCCGGGACCCATGGCGGATCAGGCTGTCCAGGGAGCCATGGCGAAGCAGGGAGCTCAGGGGCCCATGGCGGAGCAGACAGACTAGGGAGCCATGGCGGAGCAGGCAGATTAGGGAGCCATGGCGGAGCAGGAAGACTAGGAAGCCATGGCAGAGCAGGCAGCTCGGGAAGCCATGGCAGAGCTGACAGTTCAGGGGGCCATGGCGGAACGGCCTCCGTGGCCTTGTCCTCGGCACTCTGCCCGGCCTCTACAGCCAGAGCCCTATAGCCCCCCAAAAAAATTCCTTGGGGAAGATTTTGGGTTCTGAGGCCCGATGTGGGAACAGCGATCCTCCCTGGGCTTGACACGGGAACTGTGGCCCTCCCTGGGCCAGACGTGGGAACAGCGAACCTCTCTGGGCCGGACGTGGGGACTGGAGCCCTCTCTGGGCTTACCTTGGTAGCAAGAGCCCTCTCTGGGCTGTGCGTAGGAACAGGAGCCCTCTCTGGGCTTAACTTAGGAACAGAGTCTTTCTCTGGGCTTGACTTGGGAACTGGAGCCCACACTGGAGCAAGCTCAGGGGCTGGAGCCGACACTGGAGCAGACTCAGGGGCTGGAGTTGACACTGGAGCGGACTCAGGGGCTGGAACCGACACAGGAGTGGACTCAGGGGTTGGAGCCCACAGTCTCTTCCTCCGCATTCTCCTTTTTTGAGCAGAGGTGAATGAGACTGCTGCTGTCAGCTGAGGGCTTGGTAGTGAATCGGCCAGCAGGCCTGACAATGGAGCGGCTAGCAGACTTGACAATGGAGCGGCCGGTGTACGTGACAATGGAACGGAACAATGGAACAATGGAACAATCCAGAAAAGAGAATTCAGCGTGGCATCATCCAACGCTGTCATAGCTGCGAGCCTGCAGAATTCCCGGGCAAATTTTACAAAAGGGAGATCCCTATGGGCTAGGGCGACGAATTTTGCTGTGGTTTACATAATTGCGGGAGGTACTAGTAATAAATAAGAACAACTATTGTCACGACTGCTGCTACTGTGTTGGAGCGAGGAACGAGGAGCACGCAGGGGAATTACAATCAGAACAGTCTTTAATCATCCACAGGAACACACACGTAGCATAGGGGATAGACCAGTAGCGGTTTTTGGCACGAGCGAACCGGGCAGCCGCCCGGGGCGGCATTTTTTCATGATACATGGGGGGCGGCACGAGCAGTTAAAAATAAATAAAAATCCTCTTCACCGCCGCCGTGAAGCGGTTTTCTATTATCTATCATTTCACTGTGTGGGGAATTGGGGAATTGGCAAATTGGCACCCCTGCTTGCTGAGAAGGTGCCGTGCACAGAAGCTGTGTGAGAAGGGGAAAGGGGAGCGACGCGGGGGACAGTTCACCTCTGGGTCTCTCCCAAATGGAACGGACAGGGGGGGTGAATGGGGGATCCACTGTATAGAGCAATACTCTAATGGAATTAGTGGGCTAAAGTCAGTCACATTCAGGACTTAAATCATGTTTATCAGGCATTTTGGGAGACACAACAAGTGAATATGAAAATTAATTATACATCAATATTCCTATGAAATATTAGATATTATTATTAAAATGTTGCAAATTATTACACTTCTTTTTTCATTAAATGTTGCTCCAAGAACACATTAATATGCAAATTAGATACAGTGTATAGATACATTGCATTGAATGGGAATATTAATTTATGGCCATTTTACCCACATATTGCATAAAGTAAAATGGTGTATCAATTCATTCCATTATATCTTTCATAACATAGTTGAGAATCATCTTTATACAAATTTTGGTTAAAAAAAATCCTGAAACCCAAAAAGTTATTGGTGATTGAAAAAAATCCCATTGTTTTTGCCTACACATAATTTCATGTAATTTTATTTTTTAAACAACTGAGTCCTAGTGTCCACTACAGAGGCCATAGCATAACATATGAATAAAATATAATTTTTCAAAAATGTTTTTTTTACCATTTGTTTCTTATGCTCTAAACCAGTGTTTCTCAACCAGGGGTCCATGGACCCCTAGTGGTCCTTGACATAAGGCCAGGGGGTCCGTATAAAGTATGAATTTTTGTATAAATTTTGTATATTTTGACATGATATGTTCCCATGAATGAAAAATCCAATATAGCTGATGATATGGCCAAATACTGGACAAGTCAGCTAACTTGAATTATACTTGACTGCATTTGGTCCTCACAGACACAAATGATACGAGTCAATTTTGTTCTGGGGGTCCTTGAGGATGGTTCTGAATTGGACTGGGGTCTGGTACGTCAAAAGGTTGAGATTCACTGCTCTAAACAATGTGATGACATGGAAAAAAACTAGGCACTAGGTACCACACTGCACTTTAAGGGACACTCTGATTTGGACAGTAGAGAGCTTGTGCAGGAAATTAAGAACTTCCCTGACCTGCCATCAAAGACCATGAGCCTCCTTGAGCTTATCACTTTTATGCATGAATCTACCCCAACTTTTGGACTGTTCTCAGGATTGCACTTACTCTGTCAGTCACTGTGGCTCAAGAAGAGAGGAGCTTTTCAAAACTAAAGTTGATCAAGTCGTACCTGAGGTCAACCACGTCCCAGGAACGGCTCACTGGCCTTGCCGTCATCAGTATCAATCACTCAATAGGGGAGCAGATTTCATACGATGACATCATTGATGATTTTGCATCAAGGAAGGCCAGAAAGGTCAGGTTTTAATTTGTGTTTTCTGTTCTTAGTGCAATAGTGTAATAATTAGATTCTCTTTAGTGTGTTTTCACATTTGTGTGATGGAGTTGTGCTATTTAGAATATTTATTCTATATTTTATTTGTATATTATTCTTAATATTTACTTGTATATACTTGTTACATTTTTTATATATCTGATTGTATATATTTTTGGCACATTTATGTATATAGTGTATATTTATTTAAGTTCTGATAACTTATACTGTCATATTTTGTGCAGAATTGTGTTCATTGTCTTTTGGCAATGTTGGAGGTGGAGATTGTGCACCTTAAAAAGTGTGTTTCCTGTTGTAATTGCAATAGTTAAATAACTGGATTCTCTTAAGTGTGTTTTTCAAATGTTCTAATCAAGGATTTGTGCAATTGAGAAATATAATTTTCTCTTTCACTTATGTTGTTATAATAAAATA